TCACGGCTGGCCGGGGTGGCGATTAAACGGGGCTGCTCAGCCTGGCTCGGGTTAAGTGCGGGAGGGAACCGCTCAGTGGTTTGAGCATTGGCCTGCTACACCCAGGGTTGTGAGTTCAGGAAGATGGTTGTGAGTTCAGGAAGATGGGGCCGTTTAGGAAGATGGGGCAAAAATTTGTCAGGGATGGTACTTGGTCCTGCTGTGAAGGCAGGAGACTGGACTCCATGACCTTTCAAGGTCCTTTCCAGTTCTAGGAGATGGGCAGTCTCCGTTAATTCAAAGTGTACCCGGTGAGTATTGCCCTTGGGTGCATTCTCGTCTCTAGCCTGAGCATGCGTTTCCAGTATGGGAACATCATCCGGTTAACCATTCACATCACCCGGCTTAGCATGCGATTCCTATCCAGGAGAATTAAGGGAGGTGCAGGTGTGAAAGATCGCCCCGGTTTGTAGAGCCCTTCCAGGAAGCTAGCATTTTCTGTGCAGATTTGGGTTTAGAAACCTTTCAGGGAGGAAAGGGGAGCTGCTGGGTGGGGTGTTGCTTTCAGGGTATAAGTGGTGCCTGTAGACTTGCTGCAATCTTGGTTGCATTGTGGATGTAAAAGGTTACAAAGGTGGCATGCAAGTTCCACTTGTTAAATATTGACTTATATCCCAGCAGCCCACAACATCCACCTCGTTGGTCTCAAGGAAGGAAACGTGGAGCAGATGGGAAACGCAGAAAGCCCAATGATTCGGATTCCTCTGTTTTTGATAATGAAAACAAGTATAAATCTTCTGACAACAGGTTGGATAGGTATGTGTAATAAAGGATTTGTCCATAGGGTATGCAGCTGAAACAGGCCTGCATTTCTAGTGGATGAGAAAACGTGAAACTGGCCAGTATATTTTCACTTTCCAGACCTCATGTGATATATCACTATATAGTAATTTTTAAAAAAACAACAAGTGGTCTGGTAGCACTTTTTAGACTAACAAAACATGTAAATGGTATAATGAGCTTTTGTGGGCACAGACTACTTCTTCAGATGACCTGAGGTTTCTTTTGTGAGGGCGAGTAGGGGAAAACCTCTATTAAAGTACTGGCAGGATGTAAAAACCAAGAAGTGAAAAACACTGTTTAGTGACTTCTTTTTTATCATGGTGTTACTTTACTGTGACAAATACAGAGGTAGCCCTTTTCTCTCCTGTTGTTCTTTGTTCACTAAGGCCCTGCTTGCCAGAAAGGCTCAATCAGCTTGTAGATAATTTAGTGTTGTGGGTCTGGGCATCACGTTACCTTATGGTTGAGATAAGAGAGCAGAGAAGAGGGGTTTGGAGTAGCGGGAGCCATTGCCAGGACTGGTTGCTTTAGGGCTACTACAGGATCAGGGAAACTTTCCAAGGAGCTACTTCTAGCTGTGCAAGAATATTTGGAGGGGGTGGATTTGAGGTCATATGTTGTTCCTTGTTCCAGCTGCTGCTACTTACCCTGGACCAAGAGGATGGGAAACATCAGTTGTTGGGATAAAATTAGAAAAGGTAAATTTGACCTGCATGTTGAGAGAGTCTTCATGGTGAATAAAGCATGTTAGGTTTTACAGTAGTCAAAAAGGGGATTGTGACTTCATTGATTTAAAATATTTAAGATTGGTCCGGACAGAGCACTGTACAACATACTGTAATGCCATAGATCCAAAGTTGCATGTTGTAGTGCAGTTCTGCAGCAGTCCTAGAGTTCGATTACACCAAAAGAAGCAAGTGTTAAGTAAACAGATTTTTCCTATCTTCATCTTGCTGATACTGCCTTTCTGTGACAGTTATATCCTTTTTTTTTTTTGTAATCTGTGTAATTGAATCAATACAGTAAATTTAAAAAGCTCTTGTGGAGAATAGGACAAAAAGCAATGGGCTTAAATTGCAACAAGGACAGTTTAGGGATAGACATTAGGGAAAACTTTCTGTCAGAGTGGTTAAGCTCTGGAATAAAATGAAGATTGTGCAAACTCCATCACTGCAGATTTTTAAGAGCTGGTTAGACAAATAGTTGTTAGGGATTGTCAAGATAATTACTCCTTCCAAGAGTGGGGGAACTGGAGTAGAAGATCTCTTAAGGTACCTTCCAATCTTAAGGTTCTGTGTTGTTTAAAAAAAAAAAATCCAACATGCATGATATGCACACCAAGCATGGCTATATTGGTATGAATTCAGATAGATTTTTCTAATCTTGAAACTACTTCTGTAAGCCGTAGAGGAGTGCTCTGCAGACTGCCAATAGCCTACAAATAGTAGGGACCTTTGAGAACTGTGGTTTCACACACTGCATAGAAACAGCAAAATTAGGCCTTTTATTCCAACTGCTGGGAGGTAGCAGTGCAGGTGTCCCTGGTTTTGTCTCCCCACTAAAGATACCTTTTCTGGTTGAGAGGTTAGTGAGATTGTCCCCTTCTGGAGAGAATCAGGGAGATGGCAGGCTGGTCCTATTGTAGAGGGCGAAGAGAATTTTTTTCACCTATGGACAGGGTCCCGGCAGCCACTGCAGCATTTATTTAGTTGGCAGGAGTTCAGTGGGTGGGAGGGTGGTAACTGACACAGTGGCCATTAAGAGTCCTGGCCTAGACCATATGTTGTCCCACACAGGCCTGCAGTGGGGGGAGACATCAAAGTGCTATCTCATGAGGAACTAAAGGATCTACACATCCCACCATAGCCAGCATAATAGTCTCTATTGCTTGGGACACAAGTTGATGGCTGAGGGTCCCCTATCCCAATGGAGTTATTAAGGTGGGGAGATAATTCTGCTGTGACTTTTTTTTTTAAAGGCAATCCCCATTCTGGGCCACAGTGAGAACTAGTGCTCTAAGAAGTAGTTTTGCATGAGTGGTAATGAACTATATTGTCTTTCAGCTCACCTGAAGAAGTAGATTTTGCCCACAAAAGCTTATAATTATCTGTGTATATAGATAGTCTCAAAGGTGCTACAGGACTATTTATTGTTTTTCAAGTTACAGATTAACAGTTACCCCTCTGAGACTTTATTTTGTCTTAATTGAACTTTTCTGTCTCTGATGTGGACCACTTCTACAGTCTTGTGTAAAATTTTGGATACCATGTTAGAGGAAAGATAAATTGTATAACTGCTTAGTTAGCAGTAACTGGAAAACAAAGCCAGAAATATACTCAGCAGAGTTTAGGTAAAAGGTCAGATTTGCTTGTAGTGGCTTTTAATGTAATATAAAGCATGCTTTCCCCCTCCCCCGCTTTCCTACCTTACAATCTGTAGTCTTTAACTGCAGAAACTAGCATTATAAGTGAAAAGCTAAACTACTTGAATGTGGTATTATTCTCAAACATGAATTGTCATTGAGTACAGTGGGTGTGTCCCACGTCCATTTAAAGGTCTTAGCTGTGCTCCATTTTTCAAGAAAGATGTTTCTTATATGGCCCTACAAACTCAATGTAACAGCTGAAAGTCAAGCTTTGTAGCTTCTCTATTGTTGGCACATCAGATTCTCTGACCTGTCCATCCCCATTGCTTTAAATCAATAGTTCCCAACTGCCGGGCGGGCTGTGAACCTCTGGGGGCCTGGGCTAGGGTACACAACTGTCAACACAGCTGTTGGAAGAGGTATGTTCTGCCCTGCCTCTCAGCCAACCAGCATTGGTCAGGAGTGGGAGTCTCCTGCCGCACAGGGAAGCACTCATCCATGGCTGGAGGAGACCCTGCCCCTGCCCAGAGCTGGTTGGCTGAGAGGTAGGGCAGGACAAGCATCTCCCAAAAGCCGTGGCTGGAGGAGAGGTGCTGCAGTGTTCCCGAGCCCCCAGAACTGCCATGGCATAGGCAGCAGCACAGGGCTAGGTGAGGGTGATGGGGCAGGCATGGGGGCTCCAGGGGTGGGACAAGTGCTGGGGGGCTCTGGAGGCTGTGCTGGTAGGGGATGGCTATGGGGGCAGGGCTGACACTGGGGGACTCTGGGGATGGAGCTAATATTGAGGGCTGGCACTGGGGGAGGCTCTGGGGATTGGGTGCAGTGGGGCTCTGGAAACAGGAGGCTGGTACTGGGCGGTCTGGTGGGGGAGCTCTAAGGGACAGCGGGCTGGCACAGGTGTTTAGGGTGGGGGGCTGGCACTGGCGGGATCTGAGGACAGGAGGCTGGCACTGGGAGGTTGGGTGCAAGGGACTCTGGGAGGTAGAGGAGAAGTGGGGCTGTAGTGGTTAGGGCTGGCACTGGGGGCTAGGCTTTTAAGGGACTGATAATTGTTTGTTTGCATATTGATCATTTGCATAACAGATATGCAAATAAAACGTTACCAGGCTGCCAAAAGCTATTGAATGAGTCTGCTGGTCCCTGGTATCAAAAACATTGGGAACTACTGCTTTAAGTTACACTTATATAACTCTATTATCAGCTCCACAATTTGTTGTTGGAAATGCCATAAAAGAATACAGATCACTCTCCTGTAGCTGTGTCACACTGTAAGAAGTGGGCTGTGCCCACGAAAGCTCATGATACCATCTACATGTTTTGTTAGTATAAAATGAGCTACCCGACCATTTGTTTGTTTTTTACTGTCTGGAGTGACTCTCAAAAGTGAGTGCCTACCTCAAGGGCTGACACCTGGCTCATGAGTAGGCCCTGGAGTCTCACTCTTGGTGCCTCTAGTCTATCTTGCTACCCAGACAAAGTGAATGTTGTGTTAAATGGTTATTAAAATAAAAAATCACACCGGATTTCTCCCAGTTCCAAGGGCCCACTTACACCAGAATGAGTTCTTGAGCGGTTAAAGCAGGTGAAATAAAACAATTTGTTTACAGAGTTTGTAATTCCAAAGGGTGTCAGTGATGTTAAAATCTTCCAATTGTCCAAAAGCCTTTCTGGAATACAGAGATTAATTCTCCTTCTTCTCATTGAGTTACTCTGTCCTCTTAGAATCAGTCAGTCCAGAGAGATTGGATCACTTCTTGAATCCTTATTTATAGCTCCTTTATTCAAAAGCAAGTTGACAGTATGTCTACTCACATGGGATTTTCCTTTGATGACCATGCCTGAGAAATGCATGTATACTTTTGACCCACGTGCATAAGGGCCACTAGCTTTGAAATTAGCATTTTCTGTAAATCCTTAAATCTTTCATTAGCATTTCACAAGTTTTCCTTGATGGGTAATTACTGTGTAAATGTTTGCTGCAACATTGACAGGAGTAGATAAATGAAAACAGTATCAGTGATACTCCACTAGCTTTTATGAAGTTTAAAAATCTGAGTACACACTTATACATATAACCATTACTATGAGATACACAAGTGAATTGATCTGAATGCCTTCCATCATGACCTGGTCAACAACCATCACAAGGTATAGAAGCTCTGCGCTGGTATGAAGCATTGAAATTTTTTTATTAGTGCACATTGGGTATGTGAATATGTACCTGAGGACTAGGGATGTTAGCATGTACTTGTTTATGCAATTAACTGATAAGCCTGGGCTCATCAGTTAATCCTAATGGTTACATGCACACATACCTTTTGCTGCCTCTGAATCAAAGGC